CCATCCCTGAGGCAGAAAGAACAAGAGCGTTAGCAACAATTCAACAGTCGGCAGCAGCAGAGACAACATCGGCAGCAGCAGAGACAACATCGGCAGCAGCAGGAACCACATCGGCAGCAGCAGAGACATCAACGGCAGCAGCAGAAACATCAACACCAGTCGCTGGTCCTTCAACGGCACCAGTCTTCATCGACGATTCGCCACTGACGCCCGCACAACAGCTGAACCCAACTCGACGAGAAGCTCATCAAAGCGCCAACTTCACCGCCAGCTTCTACTCCAACTCCGACCTGTACCGACGATCACCCGGGCATCGCGCCGACGAAAGCACCTGGCACGCAAGGATGGGACACCCAAGCAACACAGTATTAAACAATACGATAAGAGCAGGAGTACTCGACAAGGACTCACTACTACTGACCGATGGAAGGGAACTTCAACGAGTACGTGGAACGTGCTTCACCTGCCCTGAAGCTGACTTACCGCATCAACCGTTCGCGTCTCACCATAACCCAAGCGCACCAGCTTACGCGCCACTCGAGAAGGTGTACAGTGACATCCTGTACAACCGCGAGCCTGGACAGAACGCGTACAATTACACCATCATGTTCATCGACGCCGCGACACGTTACGTTTGGCACTTGAATCTTCCAAGCAAGGATATGGCGTTCGAAGCGTTCGTCGCCTGGCTCCCTGTAGTGGAAAGAGAATCGGACGTCAAGCTAAAGAGTTTTCAGCCAGACGGAGGAGGAGAATACACCTCACAGAGGTTCAAGCAATACTTGGCTGAAAGGGGAATCAAGCGGCTCATCTCCCTTCCCTACGCCCATCAACAGCAAGGTGTAGCAGAAAGGATGAACAGGACTCTGCAGAACACCATGCGCAAACTTCTACGTGGCATGCGGCTACCCAACCACCAGTGGCCCGAAGCAATGGACCACGACGTGATGCTTCACAACTTGCTTTCTTCGTTATCACTCCCGAACAACGCGTCACCGCATCTGCTGTGGACAGGAAAACTGGGCAACACAAAAATGTTACGAGTCTTCGGCTGCATGGTACAGTACCGACCCCCATCTGCACGAGCCGGCCGATTCTCCCAACGAGCACAGTGGGGATTACACCTGGGCATCGAAAAACACTACAACGCATGGAAGATTTTCGACGTCGAGACAAAAGAAACAGTGGCAGCACGTGATGTCATTTTCTACGAGCGACTCACACTGCCGACGTACCTTGCCAACCTGGACGAAAACCGAGACCCCACAGGTGGCTTTCGTGGAGACCGAGCCTTCGCTTCGGTAGAAGACGAAGCTGACTGGGACGAGCAGAACGTGGAAGGAGCCTCGGAAGAAGCCGGACCCCTCCCCTACTGCTCCGTCAACGTGCCAATGGACGACGAAAACCCACGCGAAAGCATCAACGCCGAAACCTACTACCATTTCGCTGACAACGGTTACGTTACACCTACACAAGTAAACACCGACGAAGCAGAACGCGTAGGACCCAACTTCGCACCTGATCCAGAAGCGGGAGACGAAGCTGTTTATCCCGCGGACATGTCACTCCCCCGCTACACACAGAGTGGACTCCAGATACTCGGGCTCATCACCGCAGTCCACGGCACGGCCATTCCTAAGGAGCCTGCCACAGTTCAGCAGGCTCTGGGGGGGGAGCATAAAGAAAAATGGCGCGAAGCCATGGACAGGGAATTAAAGGCACTAGAGGAGCGCAACACTTGGAAAGTCGTTCCCATCAGTGTGGCGCGGAACAAAACGATTCTCACCGGAAAATGGGTCTTCCGTGTGAAGACAAAGGCTGACGGCACCATCGACAAGTTTAAAGCTTGCTGGGTCGTGCGCGGCTTCGACTAAGAACACGGGCGAGACTTCACCGAAACTTTCGCTCCGGTCAGCCGACACACTTCGCTCCGAATCCTTCTCACGATCGCCGCCATGAAGAAGAAGAAGCTGCGGCAAATCGATGTCGCGAATGCATTCCTCTACGCACCTGTTGACGCAGAAATCTTCGTCGAGTTACCGCACGGCTCCAATGGAGAGCCCAATCAAGTCTGTCAGCTGCTGAAGTCGCTCTACGGGATCAAGCAAGCTCCGCGACTATGGCAACAATACCTGCACGCTCGCCTCATTCGCATCGGCTTCAAGCAACTACCGCATGATCAGGGCATGTACCGGCTCACGAAGAACACCGACTACATCCTGTTAATCGTCTACGTAGACGATCTACTCTACATCGGCTCGACTGACGGCATCACAACCTGGTTCGAAGGGGAGCTGCAGAAGGACCTCACGCTCACGGTCTCAACTACCGTCACACAGTACCTCGGTCTCAACATCCGAGAAGAGGTAGACGCGATCTACCTCAGTGCCGCGAAATACGCCGACACCATCGCCAAGCGCTTCGCACTCACACCGACCACCATCTCCACACCGTACCGCTACACGACAGAAAGCAGCAAGGGAAGCTCCGCTCTACTTAAGCCCGCCGGCATATGCGACTACCAAAGGAAACTGGGCTGCCTCCTTTTCGCAGCTGTCACCTGCCGCCCGGACCTATCGTACTCTGCAAGTCAGCTCGCCACCTACCTCAAGAAGCCTGAAGCGGAACATCTAGCAGAACTCGACCGCGCTCTTCACTACCTCGTCAGCACCCCGACGATCGGCCTAACTTACTAGAAGAACGCAACTACACCGCCCAAGTTAATCGGCTACGTCGATGCCGATCACGCTGGCGACTCCGACAACAGGCGCTCTCGCACCGGCTACATCTACCGCCTCGAACCTATCGGACCTATCTCTTAGCAGTCGAGCAAGCAGGAACTAATCGCCCTCTCGTCAGCTGAAGCAGAATATATTGCACTCTGTTCAGCCACCAAGGAAGGACTTTACCTTCGCGAACTGCTGGAAGAAGCGAAGCTGGCTCAGTTACCCAGCTTCACTCTGTTCTGCGACAACCAGTCAGCAATTCGCATCGCCAACAAGAACGGCTTTGCGAACAGGACAAAACACATCGCCCTGCGATACTTCTTCGTGAAGGACGAGATCGAGAAAGGGAGGCTCGAGCTATCATACTGTCCCACGTCCGAGATGGCAGCTGACTACTTGACCAAGAAGCTCGGAAAACAGAAGTTCGAGTACTGCATGCTGCTGACTGGACAGAGCCACGTCACCAACAGCGACACTCCAGAAGCGAAGGGGAGTGTTGGAAACAATTGTGGTTAAGCGCCTCTGTCGTGTCGAAACACTAAGGCACAAGCGAAGCAAAGCATGTCGAGGCACCAGCGAGTCAACCCTCGGAGGTTGAAGTAACTGCTGGAGGTTACGCGAAAGTCAAAGGTCAGCGACCTTTGACCTGACAAGTACAGCGCGACAGCAAGGACACACAACTGACTCGCTACAGAGCAGTTGCCCGAGTCGTCACTGTATCGAACCGCAACAGCAACAGTAAAACAGTTATAACCGTATCCTTTCATATTCCTTGTACTCTTATATAATCTTGTATCTCTTTGTTTTAATCAATCTACTTTGCCCTCACATACTAGCGCAAGGTGGTTCACAATGCTTCATTAAACGCTTCCGCTATTACATCAGTCTTACCCAGAGTTCACCCCTGCAAAGATCCTAAGGGCTTTTCTCAGCCCAACACTATGCTGGCAGCGAGGCTCGGGCTAGTCCCGAAGCGTAGGCCAACGCGGCCGGGCCAGCAGTGCGAGGTTTGGCAAAACAGTGCGAAGTTGGCGAAGTCCCGTTAGCAGTAACGGGCGAACAACGGCTGTTGCTGTACGCGATGTAGTCGGGCTCCGTAAGGAATGCCGAGAAATTTCCTTACACTAACTCATAAATAAGCTGTTATCAAAGTCTTGGTAGTTTTGAAAGAGCACCTTTATTTTCCACAAGCTGATCACAAGATGGCTTTCTTGGGATAAGAGCCATCGCTACTCCCTAGCGCATAATTTAATTTCCTTACAGCCAAGAACAGCAAACAATGCGTGTGCACCAGACCTGACCGCATCAACTTGCCGTTGTAGCTTCAACTTGAATTCCTGCACACTTCATGAGAAGAAACTTCGAGCTCCTTGTTGTCATGTCTTAGTTTATTAGCCCCACAAACCCCCTCCCCCCACACTAGGGCCCAAAATTGGTTTTGGGGCACCCTGCCATATCAGGGTCCCCCAGTGCCCTTTGCCTGACCGTCTGTGTGGGAAATTTTTTACCCTGAGCTAGTCAGTGTGTTTTAGCCAGTACCCTGTGTGTGTAAGGGTATTTAAAAAACCATTCTGATTGCTAGTTCAAAGTCCTACTGGCACAATCTAATAACTTCCCTACATGCAACTCTACTCAACATAACCACCACTAACAAGACAACACATCACTCATTCTCGGGTCCCTCCTGCTGGTCTGCACTTGCAGTAGTGTCAGGGACTGCTGCCGTGTTAAACTGAGTATCACTTGGGTTGCTGCCAGTGAAGTCTCGGATTGGCCGCCTGTTTCTGTCGCCACGGAAGATGCGTGCGACCTCAAACCAGTCCATGGTGTACTCAAGGAGAGAGCAGCGCATTAGGTGTCCCAATGATGTGTCTGAGATAGCCCCCCGGCCCCACGTTTTTATAATGTTCTGCTTGCTAAACCCCCTCTCGCACTCCACCGTGCTCAGGGGCAGCACAGCGACTGCTTGCCACAGGAGCATGATGTTGGGGTAGGAGCGCTGCCATTGGTCGTCGCGCAGAGTGTTGCTGAGCGCCTGATGGAAGTCTTCGTCATGGTGCTGAGAATGCATGGTCGATGTAAACATCCAGAGCTCAGCGACAGCCTTCGTGTAGTTGAAGCCTGAGGCATAGGGGGAATGATTCTCAAAGGAGTACAAAGCGGCAGATTAGTGTAGGGAGGGGGAAGGGGGGGGGGGGGGGGGGGTGTTGATCTTTACGAGCACAAATCATGTGAAACAGGCCGTGTGCAGGCTATTGCAGCAGGGTGTGTCACTCATGTGTGCACAGAGTTGTCATAATCAACAGCGCACAAACCTGGCAAGGACTCGCGGTAGAGCACATGGAGGTGCTTCAGCCAGCGCTTGAACGCCGCGACACGCTTGTCATCATCTTGTAGGTACTTCGATGACAGGAACAGCTTCGAGCCATTGAGGTGAGACAGATCTCTTGGGCGCTTCTCAAGCTGCTTGACAACCTCCCGCACAAACTTGGTCGACAGCTCGTAGCATGCTGTCGCGTCACCTGCCGTCGCTTCACCGTCAGGGTCTTCATCGGCCAGTGGTCGCTCGTGGAGCACGAACTCATGAGAGGATGGGGTCCCATCGCTATCGACCCCTTCCACCTTCATCTTCCGCTTGTCCGGGTCCAACTTCCCATGTGCACGAATGAAGGCAGGCAAATGCATCTTGTCGCCATGACCGAATGTGTGTCCCTCGGGGACACGGAGGTAGCGTTGGGTGAGGCGCATCCGCGTCTGCTCTGCAAGGTGTGCCACCAGAGTCACGTCCACCTGTGACGCACGCGCAGTACAGAATCAAAGTGTGCGTGTTGGTAAAACGATATTTCATATGGAAACCAAACATTGAGGTGACTGTGACATAAACAGAGCGCATACTAACCTGGCGTTGCTGGAACCGAAGGTTGAGCTGATTTAGCTCGAACAGGACGTCCGCCAGGAGCCGCAGAAGCCAGTGAAACTTGAATGACGTCGCCACTTCGTACATCGTCGGCGACTGGTCTTTCATCAAAACAATGGCAGCCGGGAGCACTTCCAGAAGACGAGACACGGCTTCCCCGCGAGATAACCAACGAACTGCATGGATGCCTTGGGCTTCCAGGTTGGTTTGACAGAAGGTGAGCTGTAGATTCATGAACCGCGCGTGCTGGACGTTGCTGTTGGATAGAAGGGAGGCAAACCCGCGCACGATGGTGTCGACAATGTTGAGCTCCTTCACGGCAGTCGCAGCATCTTTCACCGCCAGAGCTTCACTGCAGGACAGAGGGTGGATCGGTGAACAAGGGGACATGTTGCCCACGCATTAGGCTCAAACATGGAGTGAAGCATATACACAACAACGCAAAGGGTTAAGGCGTAAAACAATGCACATCATATAAACGAACCGATGCGCTATGCAATGTGTGGAAACGAGGTGAGGAATCTTGGCGCGGAGACGCGCGACCACGCCATTGTGAGCCCCGACCATCACGCTCGCGCCATCCGTGGCGATGCCGACCATCTTCTGCAGGTCCACACCAGTATGCTGCAGGAACTGAACGACGACAGATGTGAGCGAAGCAGCGTCTGTCCGCTCAACCGTGAGAAGAGATAAGAACTCGGTCGCCACCACCGTTCTCTTGAAGAATGTGCCGTAGATGATCAGGTGCTTCCCGTGGATGCGATCCGTACTCTCGTCAATGCCAATCCCGAACCACGGTGAGGTCAGCAGGTGCTGCAGCTGGAGGTCCTGGAGGTAAGTCGACATCGATCTTATCTTCTCCTTGAAACCGTAGCTGCACACACGACGGGCAGATGCGGAAGCATTAGTATTTGCCGACTGTACAGGCAATAAAAAATGCTACCAACAGAAGGAATGCATGAACTTACTCCGTATAGTATGCGCCATAGCCACCTGTGGGCGGTAGATCTGGAAGTCCCTCTCTGGCCAGGAACCAGCAGAGAGGTACAAAAAGGGCGATTGGAGCATCCGCCTTACATATGAACATGGCGATGTGCAGACAGCGGATTATGTGACGCGTTGATGCATCCGTGGCTTGCCACGACGTGCCTCAGCCTCAGCTTGACGCTCACGACGTGCCTCAGCCTCAGCTTCCACCTTCAAAGCGGCCTTGTGCGCCCTAGTCGCAACATGGGCGCGCATGCTGCCTAGCTGAAGATCGCGGCCACCCTCGCCCTTGATGCCGTACGTCGTGTTGGCAGCGGGGTCGCCATGCAGCATGCAGATGTTGCACTTCAACGAGGGCCGGCCTGCTTTCGTGCGATGCAAACGAAGCCACGGAAAACGAGACGACCAGTCAGAATCAAAACGATGCTTGATAATAGCATACTCAGTGTCCGCATCCGATTGGGGTAGCTCCTCAGCCTCCACTGGCGGAGGTACACGTGGAGGACTTGGTGGTTTGCGTGGAGGCTTTGCACCCCACAGGAGCTGCTGGGTGTATTTCACACCACCGGTTCGAGCACGCTTAGCTGGAGCGCTGTTGACCGTTGACGGAGTGCTCTCGCCTCCGTTTGAAGGGCCCTCGTCACCACCAGGCACCAATGTCACGGACGGGTGTGGCTCCCAGGCAGTCGGCGAGTTCGGTGCCTCCCACGCATACACCATGCCGACTGAACGGACTGGTGATTCGGGGCGAGGAGGTTCTTGGACAGGAGTGGCATAGGCTTTGCCCAGCCGGGGGAAAACCCCGAGCACAGAAAGTCCATTGCGAGGAGAAGCAGGTGCTTCTCCTCCTGATTCCTCGTTTGGCATGGTAAGGTGGAGCTAGTGGAGCAGAGTAGGGGATAGAAGAAATGGCTGGAGAAGGTAAGGATGAAAGAGAAGGCACTCGTTCTAAGGATGTGGCCTTTCGACCACGCTGGATGTAAATGCTGTAGAGGCAGCGAATCACAAGTTTCCTGGTGTGGTCTGTTTTGTCGATGTGACAGCGCGACAGTGACTCGTCTGGCCGGTTTTGTAACCATCTCGGACTAGTGGCCACATGGGCCTTGTTGTACAGAAACCACACGAGGAAAGTTTGTTTCAGTGCATTTGAAAAAGTACCCTGACGAGTCAGGGGAGAACTCGGGGTGGCCTGATTTCGCAAGTGTATTTCAAAAACTACAAATATACAGTCAGGGTCAATTTGTAAATACACGTCCTACATCAGGGCATTCCTGGAAAAGCGGCCCATAGCAAGGGTAGAAAGGGTAAAACACCCTTGAATTTTGGGCCCTGCCCCACACCCCCTCCCCCCACACCCCCTCCCCCTGTCCCACCCCCACCTCCACTTTTTTTGGAAGAATACCATACAACTCCAAGGGTGTTTTGTACTGGGTTGTACGGTATTACGACCTGTTCTACTGTTTTCGACAGTCAATCGATACACCACATATCACTTGGTCAATAAATTATGGCCTCCTTTTCCTTCCTGCCGCAGCAGCAGATGCGCAGCTCTCCCTTCCTGCCAGTCATGCCTGATCCGTGCTTGACCTTGTGCTCATGCTTCTGAACTTTGACTCTTCAGGAGGCCGCGGCATGTCCGAATATTCCGGATACTTGCGGCAGCAGCAGCATGTGCGCTGCGCAGCTTGCGAGAATCCCCCTGCATCCTTCCCGCCAGTCTACAGTCTATGTCTTCTCCGTGCTTGAGCTTGTGCTCATGCTTCTGAACTTTGACACTTCAGGCGGCCGCGGCATATCAGACGACTGCGCAGCAGCTCTCGCCTCCGCCTCCGCATATTCCGGATACTTTCTCCCGCAGCAGCAGATACGCAGCTTGCGGGACCCGCGCTGAGTTTGCCGGTAGAGGATGAAGAAGGGCGTGCAGATAATGAGACCAGCGGCTACCACCAGGACGATGAAGGTGAGGATGCCCCACGGCCCGATGCTCTTGTCGCTGCAGTTGGTCTTCGAGACGTCCTTCCACAGACACGTGTAGTCGTAGCCGCCAGAGGGAGGCGAGGGAGGGGGTGGCGGGGGGACCGCCGCTGCGTGTAGGGAAGGGGGAAGGGAGAAGGGGAAGGGGCAACAGCTGAGTGTTGGGAAGGTGAGGATGCCCCACGGCCTGATGCTCTTGTCGCTGCAGTTGGTCTTCGAGACGTCCTTCCAAAGGCAGGTGTAGTCGTAGCCGCCAGAGGGGGGGGAGGGCGGGGGTGGAGGGGGGGCCGCAGCTGGGGAAAGGGCAAGCGGAGGACGGAGGTAAAAGGGAAGGGAGAAGGGAAAAGGGAGAAAGGGGAAGAGAGAAGGGGGAAATGGTGAAGAAGGGAGTGGAGATGATGAGCCCGGCGGCTACGAGGAGCACGATGAAGGTGAGGATGCCCCACGGCCCGACGCTCTTGTCGCTGCAGTTGGTCTTCGACACGTCCTTCCATAGGCAGGTGTAGTCGTAGCCGCCAGAGGGAGGGGAGGGAGGGGGGACCGCAGCTGTGTGGGGAAGGTGTGGAGAGGTATAGAGGGGTGTGGAGAGGTGAGGATTGGAGACGTCCTTCCATAGACAGGGGTAGTCGTAGCCCCCCTTGGGAGGGGGCGGAGAGGGGGCTGCGGTTGTGTGTGGGGAAGGGGGAAGGGGGAAGGGGGAAGAAGGAAGGGAGAAAGGGGAAGTAGAAAGGGAGAAAGGGGAAGTAGAAAGGGAGAAAGGGGAAGTAGAAAGGGAGAAAGGGGAAGTAGAAAGGGAGAAAGGGGAAGTGGGAAGGGGGGAGTGGGAAGGGAGAAGGGCGAAGGAGGGAGGGAGAAGGAAGAAGCAGAAAGGGAGAACGGGGAAGGGAGAAAGGGAAGGGTAAGGGGCAACGGGAGGTGGAGGAAAAGGGTGTAAAAAAGTGAAGATTGGGTATGGAGACAGCTTTTGAGATGTCTCAAAAGACGGCTGCACAGGCTGTCTTTTGGATGTCTCAAAAGACGGCTGCACAGGTGTTTTGAGACGTCTCAAAAAGGTGAAGATTGGGTATGAAGTCAGCTTTTGAGATGTCCCAAAAGACGGCTGCACAATCAGGAATTGATGCCTCATTGCTCACATGCAGACGTTTGAATGCCAAGGCTGGCCTCTAACCCCTCACAACCGCCCTCAACGCCTCTCAACCCCCATAACTCCCCTTAGGGGGATGAGATCAGGTGTAGGGGGATAAGCTCAGGGGCTGGAGAAAGGATGAGCTCAGGGGGGAGGGGACTTTTGAGTCGACTCAAAACACACCTTTTGAGTCGACTCAAAGATGGGATCAGGTGTAGGGGGATAAGCTCAGGGGCTAGAGAAAGGATGAGCTCAGGGGGGAGGGGAGTGGGGGGTGACGTCATGGGGAGGAGAATGATATGAGAAATGGGTGGGGAGAGGGGGGCGCCTGTCCCGCCTGCCGTCCGCCTGTCGCTCGTCTGTAGCTCGACTGCCGTCCGCCTGCCGTCCGCCTGCCGTCCGCCTGTCGCTCGTCTGTAGCTAGACTGTCGGTCACCTGTCGCTCGTCCGTCTCTCGCCTGTCGTTCGCATGTCGCCCGCCTGCCACCCGCCAGTCCTAGCCCATACCGTCACCCGCCGCAACCCGTACACCTGCGGCCATTTACGCCTACATTGCCGGTTCAAAGATCTTCTCTTCAGGCCAATGCCTCTCCTCCGAGTTGACTTTTGAGCCGACTCGAAAGTCAACTTGCTCCCCGTACACCTGCGGCCATTTACGCCTACATTGCCGGTTCAAAGATCGTCCCTTCAGGCCGATACCTCTCCTCCGCCTCTCGCTCGTGTTTTGAGTCGACTCAACACCCGCCAATCCTAGCCCATTCCGTTACCCGCTGCTCCCCGTACACCTGCAGTCATTTACGCCTACATACATCGCCGGTTCAAAGATCTTCCCTTAAGGCCGATACCTCTCCTCCGCCTCTCGCTCATCTCCAGTGCATCCCCATTCCGCCACCTGCGGCGTTATGTACACCTGGGGCCTTTTTCGCCTACCTGTCGCCCGTCTGTCGCCCGTATGTCGCTCGCCTGTCGCTCGCCAGTGCATCCCCACTCCGCCACCTGCGGCGTTATGTACACCTGGGGCCTTTTTCGCCTACCTGTCGCCCGTCTGTCGCCCGTATGTCGCTCGCCTGTCGCTCGCCAGTGCATCCCCACTCCGCCACCCGCGGCGTTATGTACACCTGGGGCCCTTTTCGCCTACCTGTCGCCCGTCTGTCGCCCGTATGTCGCTCGCCTGTCGCTCGCCAGTGCATCCCCATTCCGCCACCCGCGGCGTTATGTACACCTGGGGCCTATTTTCGCCTACCTATTGCCCGCATGTCCCTCGCCTATCGTTCGCCGGTCGCTCGCATGTCTCTCGCCTGTCGCTCGCCTTTCACTCGCCTGTCGCTCGCCTGTCGTTCGACTGCCGCCCGCCTGTCGCTCGCCTTACGTTCGTCTGTACACTCGCCTGTCACTCGCCTCGCCATATGTCGCCCGACTATCGCTTGCTGTCGCCCGGCCATCGCTCACCTGGCGGCGCATTGTCGAGGGAGCGAGCGGAGGCGAGAGGGGAGACGGCGAGCAGAACAAGGCAGAGGAGAGCGAAGAAGTTGAGAGCGAGGGAGTGAAGAGCGCCGAGGGCCAGCGCGAGCGGTGCGCGGAGCGGTCGTCTCCTAGAGGCGAGGGCGCTTCGAGAGGGAATCGTGGCGGCGACAGCTAAGTGGGAAGAGCGGAAGGCGATGGCGGAGTTGGCGCGGTGGCGACAACAAGGAGCCATTTCCGCGTCTCCACTCCGTTGCGGGCGCGGTCGACTCATCAGAAACACAGATGCAAACCGTCAGAAATTGGGCAATGGCGACTTGAGAGTGATTCTCGCGCAAACGAGCGCCTCGTAGTTGGTCGTTGACGAGGAGGCATGGGGAACCGGACGTGGAAGTGGGTGCGAAATGGCGCTAGTGGCGCGAGAAGTGGTTGGGACTTCGTGGTTTTGTCGTGGGACCTAGTCACCTAGGTTGTCTGGGAGAAACTTTCAGGTTCCAGGTGCGGTTCGATTTTGGAAGAAACTGGCAAATGTGTGTTGTCTCAGGTGTAATTCTGATCGAAACCAATACAGAAGCCAGTTTACAACGCGGATATCCACGATAAACGACAGATTGGTTCGAGGGGTTGGGCGGGGAATTTGTCGGAGAATGAATGGGCGTTCGACGCCCGTCAGGGTTGCGAAATCAAAACGCGCACCGACGGGAAACCCGGATTTTCGATCAGGTCGCCTGGTTTCGTCATCGTGCTTCGTGACTTCGGTTTGCTGAGAACGACCAATGAACATCTTCCGAGAGCGAATTTTTCAGTAGCCCAAGCCTTGTCACATGAATTCCTGTCCAGCGGGAGATCTAGTCAGCTTAGCCCACCTTGGGCTCCCTGAGGGGATCCCATGAAGCTCTCTGGTCTGCTATCTCGTCAGGTTTAGTTATGGGAGAAAACGATAGTAGGAAAACACGTCAGCTGTTGTACCCAGCTTCGACATGGCCTAAGGATCTCCAGTGAGATTAGCTCCTCCTACAACACAAGCACGGCGCGTACTTCCCCACCTCCAAACCGCAGTTCAGCAAGCGGGTGGTGCTGCGTGTTTATCAACTTTCTATAGTAGAGAAGGAGCGAGGAGCTGGGATTGTGAGATCCGTATACGAGTGACTTGATCCCTTGTCATTCTATATCTGGGAAAGGAGATCTCTTTTCATACCTTTCTTAGCAGTCCGCGGTCGATCCGTGAAGTTCAGATGGAGCGTCTCTCACACATAGATCGACTTTCAGATGATCTTCTTATCAGGATTTTATGGTTTCGGAAAGAGGAGCCTGTCCAAGAATATTCAAATTCTATATGGGACTGGCTTCCTTCTTGGCATTTTAAGGCGAACAAGTTCACTTATCCAGCCTTATCAGATCCAGCTTTTAATCTGCTCATCGCGTCCGTATGCAGTCGCTGGCGTGACCTCGTTAAGCGTCAAGTCACCTGCTTGTCAGTTCATGAAAACCGTGTCATTTCTCGTCAAGATCTGACGAACGCAGTGGCTTGTTTCGACAACCTCACCAATCTTCATCTCAGTGACGGCAGTGTCGAGATAATTGACAACGTTTTTTTATCTCGCCTTGCTTCCTCACGGCCTAAGCTAAAAGTTCTTCACGTGGGTCTCAGGATCACACCGAAAAGGTGTGAAGGAAGCAAGAATGAGCACCCAGTTACTGAATCTGGCTTGGATTTGTTTTTCCTGAAGTGTACTCACCTCGAGGAGTTTTCGCTTCACTGCCTCCATAAAGATGCTGAGTTGCCGAGTTCTTTCTTTCAACTGCAGCATCTCCACACAGCTCTTCTGACTGACATTTCAGCCTTGACATTTCCCAGATTTGCAGCGCTTTCGTCTCTCACTTCTCTCCATATTGCCGTTTCGAAATTGACACATCAGCAACTATCAAGCCTCGCTCGTATCCCAAGACTCTCCATACTTTCGATCTCTAGTGAAATCTGCCTACTCAAGAATGAATCACCATCTGCAACATTTCCAGCTGCTCAGCCGCCTTATCTGAAGACACTCGAGTTCCCGCTCAACAGTCCGAAATTCGATGCAATGTTCTTTACAGGATCACCCTGCATTCGCCTAGAACAGCTGGTGATTACCAATTCCACCAACCTTCGACGACTCCCGGATGACATTGGAGAGCTGTTGCCATGCCTCCGTGAGCTGACCATTCGGAATTGTGATGAGCTTGACCAACTATCCGATAGTATCACTTCCCTAAGCGCATTGGAGTGCTTATCCATTTGTAACTGCCGCCGGCTTACCAGCCTGCCCATCGACTTCGAAGAGTTTCCTGCCCTCAAGTCACTGATGCTGCACAACCTGCCTCGTTTAGACTTACCTGAATCCCTTTGCCAAGCTATTTCTTTGGAGACTCTGTCCCTTTATGACTGTGGCAAGATGCAGCTGCCAGCAGAGTTCTGCATCCTGACATCTCTCAAGAAACTGAGCCTCATGCGCTATGGGAAGATGGTGCTTCCAGAGAGGATTGGATGCCTCACTAACCTGGAGACTCTTCAGCTACATGGATTCATGCAGCCGCCTCCTTCACTCACGCAGCTGGTTTTTCTAACAAGTATTGAGCTTGCATATTGCTCAGTTGTCGAGCTTCTTGAAGGTCTGCAGAATATGACTAACCTGCAGCATCTCCGCATACGGAACTGTTCTGCTCTCAACGAGATTCCAGAGTCTGTTACAGGGCTGACGCGGCTAGAATCCTTGACCATTTTAGCGTGTGAACAGCTTTCTGTGCTGCCAAGAAGGCTGAGTAGCCTTGTGGGGCTGAAGAGGTTGGACGTAAAATGGTGTAGACGACTTTGTGAGTTTCCTGTGGCACTTCCACTTTCCCTTGAGGTCCTGATTTGGGACAACAATGAGCAGGGAACTTTCCAGCCTCGGATTTCCCTGCCGTCTCGTCTAAGGCACTTGAATCTGAGGTTGGCAGACAACATTGACGAATTTCCTGTCCCCTTGAGCCCACTTTCTCAGCTCCACGTCTTGAGTATCTGTCATGGTGAAAGGATTCGAACCCTTCCAGGAAGCATCGGTTCCGCATTGCAGCAGCTGCGTGATTTGCAGATATGCCACTTCAAGGAGCTTCGGGAGCTGCCAGAAACGATCTCACAGCTCCAACACCTGACATCGCTGGAGGTCGTTGCGCCCAAGCTGGCCTCAATTCCTGATGGGATCGGCGCATTATCCAGGTTGCGCAAGCTGGATCTGACAGACTGTAAGGCCCTGCAGCAGCTACCATCATCGCTCACACAGCTTCGATGCCTCTCTGTGCTGAGACTATACAATACTTCCATCACCTCCCTTCCTCCGAGGTTTGGACAGCTGACCAGGTTGAGGACACTGAGCCTCTCTGGCTGTGAGCAATTGACAGCCTTGCCAGAGGATTTGACAGAGCTGAAGCTGCTGCAATACTTGAAATGTGAAGGGTGCACGCAAGCAGTCAATGGCAAGTCCCGTGCATTGCGCCGTGCCGTCCGAGACATGCATGGGCTGACCTTTGTTAAACATTAGTTCTGAGTGTAGCGTTTGTGGTGGTGGTCTTTCATTTCTTCTACCGTATGTAGGCATATTTCCTCCTTGTGTAGTAATTTTCTTTTCTTAGTCCCAGCTCTTGGGTTACTCGTAACTATCTGTCCCTCTGTTTTGTCATGACTTGCTTTGCTCTTTTGAATGTACGGGTACAACCATTTCTCCATGTATGCAAAGTGTATGCATGAAATGTGGCTTGCCGGGCAGTAAACACCATTCTTATTCTCAAATTTCAATGGTTGTGAACAGGATGGCTGTCTTGGTACTGAATCATAGGCTTGAACTTGAGAGCATGCATGCTGCTGGTCATGTATGCATTGACATGTGCTGATGGTCACACATGCATCGCCATCTGCCGAGGTTTATGTACGGATCACCATGTGCTGATAATGATCATGGATGCATCACGATGTGCTGATAACCATTATGCATGCATTCCCATGTGCTGATAACGATTATGCATGCATCACCATGTGCTTATAATGATCATGCATGCATTGCCATGTGCCGATGCTAATGAATGGATGGCCATGTAAGCATTGCCATATGGTAGTCATTATGTACTCATTGCGATGTGCATCGTCCATGCATGCATCACAATGAACATGCATGCACGATGCTGCATGGAGCAGTAGCCATCAGGATGGGCAGGCTGGCTGGAATGGAAATGGGTGTTGTGGGAGGTAAGGCTGAAAGGGACGGAAATAGAAGATAAGACGAAGGATTATGCAGTTGGTTATTATATCTACCAGTAAGGTGTATATGATTGTGTTGTTTTATTCTTTGTGCGTGGTTGCAAGAGTGCTCTCTGCCACTGCTGGCTGCTATACTCTGCCATGTTGTGTCACCCCTCACCCAGCTGTCCAGCTGCCATGTTGTGGGATGCTGTGCGGGTGGGTGCTCAGCATAGCTCAGTGGGTAAGCAAGGTTATTTAGTTTCTTCACCTCCTGCTTCCTGCCTGCTCTGCCCTGCTCTGCCATGTTGTGTCACCCCTCACTCACCTGTCCAGGGTTGCTGTGCAGGTGAGTCCTCAGCACAGCTCAGTGGGTAAGCAAGGTTTGCCTGCTCTGCTATTCTCTGCCATGTTGTGTCAACCCTTACCCACCTGTCCAAGGAGGCTGTGTGGGTGGGTGCTCTGTGCAGGTACGAAATGCATGAGATGGGGGTGCATGATATGGGGATGCATGATATGGGGATGCATGAGTTGAGAACGCGACAGTGCTCTCACCTCCCGTATGGGCCTCCTGGCTGCTCTGTTCTCTGCTCTTCTCTCTGCTCTGCTCTCTGTTCTGCTCTCCGTTCTGCATTGCTGTGTTGCGACTCCCCTTGCGCGCCTGCCAAAGGCTGCTTTTGAGGCCTAAAATAATCCCTGCCTGCCAAAGTCTGCAGTGGGACCTTCACATCATCACATGGCCCTTCCTGAAAAGCATACTGCTTTTCACAGGCTCGCTGCTCCCCCTCCCTGCCTCTCCCCTGCTGCCTCCTTCCGTATTTCCCAGACTTCCCCATTCGCCTGCATTCTTACCCAGTCTGCTCCGGTCTGCCTTCTTCCTTCATGCCAATTAAGGCTGTAGACTGCCAATTTAGGCTCTGGACCGTAATTTAGGCTCTAGACTGTAATTCAGGCTGTAGACTGCCAATTCAGGTTGCAGCCTGCACAGCAGAGTGCCATTCAGAGACTCGCTTTCCCCCACTCCTCTCCTCTCCGGGGCTCCCCCTTCACTCCCGCCTTCTTTCCTTCAGGCAGAAGCACAAAGGATAGGCTTACCCAGCTGGCACCTGCCAGGGTCGCCATGCTTCACTCTCATTCCCAACACCCCCTCCTCCCTTCTTCTCTCCCCCTCCCCCCCCCCCCCACCCCATTCCCCTGAGTGGTGAGTATACCTCTCTGGAACCTGGCAGCATCGCCGTCCTTCACTCTCATTTCCAACACCCCCTCCTCCTTTTTCTCTCCCCCTCCGCCCCTTGCCCCACTCCCCCGAGTGGTGCGTACACCCAACTGGGACCGGGCAGAATCAGATGGCGTTTGCAGTAGAAGCCACATCAGATGTTCTGTTACTGGTGGGGAAGAGATGGTGAGTGGGGGGGAGGCAGATGAGCGAGAGGGTGTTGGTGAAAGAGAAGGAGCATACTGGCATTTGCAGTTGAAGCCACATCAGATGTTCTGCTGCTGGTGGGGAAGAGATGGTGTGCGGAGGGCTTAGGAGAGTTCTTGAAAGAGCAGAGGAGGTGGGAATAAGGAGGGGGGACTGTTAGATAAAATAGCAGGGTTCATCATCCCTCCCCTCATCATCCCTCCCCTCATCATCCCTCCCCTCATCATCCCTCATCTCATCATCCCTCCCCTCATCATCCCTCCCCTCATCATCCCTCCCCTCATCATCCCTCCCCTCATCATCCCTCCCCTCATCATCCCTCCCCTCATCATCCCTCCCCTCATCATCCCTCCCCTCATCATCCCTCCCCTCATCATCCCTCCCCTAATCATCCCTCCCCTCATCATCCCTCCCCTCATCATCCCTCCCCTCATCATCCCTCCCCTCATCATCCCTCCCCTCATCATCCCTCCCCTCATCATCCCTCCCCTCATCATCCCTCCCCTCATCATCCCTCCCCTCATCATCCCTCCCCTCATCATCCCTCCCCTCATCATCCCTCCCCTCATCATCCCTCCCCTCATCATCCCTCCCCTCATCATCCCTCCCCTCATCATCCCTCCCCTCATCATCCCTCCCCTCATCATCCCTCCCTCATCATCCCTCCCCTCATCATCCCTCCCCTCATCATCCCTCCCCTCATCATCCCTCCCCTCATCATCCCTCCCCTCATCATCCCTCCCCTCATCATCCCTCCCCTCATCATCCCTCCCCTCATCATCCCTCCCCTCATCATCCCTCCCCTCATCATCCCTCCCCTCATCATCCCTCCCCTCATCATCCCTCCCCTCATCATCCCTCCCCTCATCATCCCTCCCCTCATCATCCTCCCTCAGCCCTCATCATCCCTCATCTCATCATCCCTCCCCTCATCATCCCTCCCTCATCATCCCTCATCTCATCATCCCTCCCTCATCATCCCTCCCCTCATCATCCCTCCCCTCATCATCCCTCCCCTCATCATCCCTCCCCTCATCATCCCTCCCCTCATCATCCCTCCCCTCATCATCCCTCCCCTCATCATCCCTCCCCTCATCATCCCTCCCCTCATCATCCCTCCCCTCATCATCCCTCCCCTCATCATCCCTCCCCTCATCATCCCTCCCCTCATCATCCCTCCCCTCATCATCCCTCCCCTCATCATCCCTCCCCTCATCATCCCTCCCCTCATCATCCCTCCCCTCATCATCCCTCCCCTCATCATCCCTCCCCTCATCCCTCCCCTCATCATCCTCCCCTCATCATCCCTCCCCTCATCATCCCTCCCTCATCATCCCTCCCCTCATCATCCCTCCCCTCATCATCCCTCCCCTCATCATCCCTCCCCTCATCATCCCTCCCCTCATCATCCCTCCCCTCATCATCCCTCCCCTCATCATCCCTCCCCTCATCATCCCTCCCCTCATCATCCCTCCCCTCATCATCCCTCCCCTCATCATCCCTCCCCTCATCATCCCTCCCCTCATCATCCCTCCCCTCATCATCCCTCCCCTCATCATCCCTCCCCTCATCATCCCTCCCTCATCATCCCTCCCCTCATCATCCCTCCCCTCATCATCCCTCCACTCATCATCCCTCCCCTCATCATCCCTCCCCTCATCATCCCTCCCCTCATCATCCCTCCCCTCATCATCCCTCCCCTCATCATCCCTCCCCTCATCATCCCTCCCCTCATCATCCCTCATCTCATCATCCCTCCCCTCATCATCCCTCCCCTCATCATCCCTCATCTCATCATCCCTCCCCTCATCATCCCTCCCCTCATCATCCCTCATCTCATCATCATCCCTCCTCCCTCATCATCCCTCCCCTCATCATCCCTCCCCTCATCATCCCTCCCCTCATCATCCCTCCCCTCATCATCCCTCCCCTCATCATCCCTCCCCTCATCATCCCTCCCCTCATCATCCCTCCCCTCATCATCCCTCCCCTAATCATCCCTCCCCTCATCATCCCTCCCCTCATCATCCCTCCCCTCATCATCCCTCCCCTCATCATCCCTCCCCTCATCATCCCTCCCCTCATCATCCCTCCCCTCATCATCCCTCCCCTCATCATCCCTCCCCTCATCATCCCTCCCCTCATCATCCCTCCCCTCATCATCCCTCCCCTCATCATCCCTCATCTCATCATCCCTCCCCTCATCATCCCTCCCCACATCATCCCTCCCCTCATCATCCCTCCCCTCATCATCCCTCCCCTCATCATCCCTCCCCTCATCATCCCTCCCCTCATCATCCCTCCCCTCATCATCCCTCCCCTCATCATCCCTCCCCTCATCATCCCTCCCCTCATCATCCCTCCCCTCATCATCCCTCCCCTCATCATCCCTCCCCTCATCATCCCTCCCCTCATCATCCTCCCCTCATCATCCCTCCCCTCATCATCCCTCCCCTCATCATCCCTCCCTCATCATCCCTCCCCTCATCATCCCTCCCCTCATCATCCCTCCCCTCATCATCCCTCCCCTCATCATCCCTCCCCTCATCATCCCTCCCCTCATCATCCCTCCCCTCATCATCCCTCCCCTCATCATCCCTCCCCTCATCATCCCTCCCCTCATCATCCCTCCCCTCATCATCCCTCCCCTCATCATCCCTCCCCTCATCATCCCTCCCCTCATCATCCCTCCCCTCATCATCCCTCCCCTCATCATCCCTCCCCTCATCATCCCTCCCCTCATCATCCCTCCCCTCATCATCCCTCCCCTCATCATCCCTCCTCATCATCCCTCCCTCATCATCCCTCCCCTCATCATCCCTCCCTCATCATCCCTCCCTCATCATCCCTCTCCCTCATCATCCCTCCCCTCATCATCCCTCCCCTCATCATCCCTCCCCTCATCATCCCTCCCCTCATCATCCCTCCCCTCATCATCCCTCCCCTCATCATCCCTCCCCTCATCATCCCTCCCCTCATCATCCCTCCCCTCATCATCCCTCCCCTCATCATCCCTCCCCTCATCATCCCTCCCCTCATCATCCCTCATCTCATCATCCCTCCCCTCATCATCCCTCATCTCATCATCCCTCCCCTCATCATCCCTCATCTCATCATCCCTCCCCTCATCATCCCTCATCTCATCATCCCTCCCCTCAATCATCCCTCCCTCATCATCCCTCATCATCCCTCCCTCATCATCCCTCCCCTCATCATCCCTCCCCTCATCATCCCTCCCCTCATCATCCCTCCCCTCATCATCCTCATCTCATCATCCCTCCCCTCATCATCCCTCCCCTCATCATCCCTCCCCTCATCATCCCTCCCTCATCATCCCTCCCCTCATCATCCCTCCCCTCATCATCCCTCCCCTCATCATCCCTCCCCTCATCATCCCTCCCCTCATCATCCCTCCCCTCATCATCCCTCCCCCTCATCATCCCTCCCCTCATCATCCCTCCCCTCATCATCCCTCCCCTCATCATCCCTCCCCTCATCATCCCTCCCCTCATCATCCCTCCCCTCATCATCCCTCCCCTCATCATCCCTCCCCTCATCATCCCTCCCCTCATCATCCCTCCCCTCATCATCCTCCCCTCATCATCCCTCCCCTTCATCATCCCTCCCCTCATCATCCTCCCTCATCATCCCTACCCTCATCATCCCTCCCCATCATCATCCCTCATCATCCTCCCCTCATCATCCCTCCCCTCATCATCCTCCCCTCATCATCCCTCCCCTCATCATCCCTCCCCTCATCATCCCTCCCCTCATCATCCCTCCCTCATCATCCTCCCCTCATCATCCCTCCCCTCATCATCCCTCCCCTCATCATCCCTCCCCTCATCATCCCTCCCCTCATCATCCCTCCCTCATCATCCCTCCCCTCATCATCCCTCCCCTCATCATCCTCCCCTCATCATCCCTCCCCTCATCATCCCTCATCTCATCATCCGCCCCTCATCATCCCTCATCTCATCATCCCTCCCCTCATCATCCCTCCCCTCATCATCCCTCCCCTCATCATCCTCCCCTCATCATCCCTCCCCTCATCATCCTCCCCTCATCATCCCTCCCCTCATCATACCTCCCCTCATCATCCCTCCCCTCATCATCCTCCCTCATCATCCCTCCCCTCATCATCCCTCCCCTCATCATCCCTCCCTCATCATCCCTCCCTCATCATCCCTCCCCTCATCATCCCTCCCCTCATCATCCTCCCCTCATCATCCCTCCCCTCATCATCCCTCATCCTCCTCATCATCCCTCCCTCATCATCCCTCCTCATCATCCCTCCCCTCATCATCCCTCCCCTCATCATCCCTCCCCTCATCATCCCTCCTCATCATCCCTCCCTCATCATCCCTCCCCTCATCATCCTCCTCATCATCCCTCCCCTCATCATCCCTCCCTCATCATCCCTCCCCTCATCATCCTCCCCTCATCATCCTCCTCATCATCCCTCCCCTCATCATCCCTCCCCTCATCATCCCTCCCCTCATCATCCCTCCCCTCATCATCCCTCCCCTCATCATCCCCTCCCCTCATCATCCCTCCCCTCATCATCCCTCCCCTCATCATCTCCCCTTCATCCCTCCTCATCATCCCTCCCCTCATCATCCCTCCCCTCATCATCCCTCCCCTCATCATCCCTCCCCTCATCATCCCTCCCCTCACCATCATCCCTGCCCCTCATCATCCCTCCCCTCATTCATCCCTCCCCTCATCTCCCTCCCCTCATCATCCTCCCTCATCATCCCTCCCCTCATCATCCCTCCCCTCATCATCCCTCCCCTCATCATCCCTCCCCTCATCATCCCTCCCCTCATCCATCCCTCCCCTCATCATCCCTCCCCTCATCATCCTCCCCTCATCATCCCTCCCCTCATCATCCCTCCCCTCATCATCCATCCCTCACATCATCCCTCCCCTCATCATCCTCCCCTCATCATCCTCCCCTCATCATCCCTCCCCTCATCATCCCTCCCCTCATCATCCCTCCCCTCATCATCCCTCCCCTCATCATCCCTCCCCTCATCATCCTCATCTCATCATCCCGCCCCTCTCATCATCCTGCATACTTCATATCACCTCATCCCTCTCATCATCCCTCATCTCATCATCCTCCCCGTTCATTCATTCCTCAAGTCTCATCATCCCTCCCCATCAATCATCCTCCATCTCATCATCCCTCCCCTCATCATCCCTCCCCTCATCATCCCTCCCCTCATCATCCCTCCCCTCATCATCCCTCCCCTCATCATCCCTCCCCTCATCATCCCTCCCCTCATCATCCCTCCCCTCATCATCCCTCCCCTCATCATCCCTCCCCTCATCATCCCTCCCCTCATCATCCCTCCCCTCATCATCATCCCTACCCTCATCATCCCTCCCCTCATCATCCCTCCCCTCATCATCCCTCCCCTCATCATCCCTCCCCTCATCATCCCTCCCCTCATCATCCCTCCCCTCATCATCCCTCCCCTCATCATCCCTCCCCTCATCATCCCTCCCCTCATCATCCCTCCCCTCATCATCCCTCCCCTCATCATCCCTCCCTCATCATCCCTCCCCTCATCATCCCTCCCCTCATCATCCCTCCCCTCATCATCCCTCCCCTCATCATCCCTCCCCTCATCATCCCTCCCCTCATCATCCCTCCCCTCATCATCCCTCCCCTCATCATCCTCCCCTCATCATCCCTCATCTCATCATCCCTCCCCTCATCATCCTCATCCCTCATCATCCCTCCCTCATCATCCCTCCCTCATCATCCCTCCCCTCATCATCCCTCCCCTCATCATACCCTCCCCTCATCATCCCTCCCCTCATCATCCTCCCCTCATCATCCCTCCCCTCATCATCCCTCCCCTCATCATCCCTCCCCTCATCATCCCTCCCCTCATCATCCCTCCCCTCATCATCCCTCCCCTCATCATCCCTCCCCTCATCATCCTCCCCTCATCATCCCTCCCCTCATCATCCCTCCCCTCATCATCCCTCCCCTCATCATCCCTCATCTCATCATCCCTCCCCTCATCATCCCTCATCTCATCATCCCTCCCCTCATCATCCCTCATCTCATCATCCCTCCCCTCATCATCCCTCATCTCATCATCCCTCCCCTCAACATCCTCCCCTCATCATCCCTCATCTCATCATCCCTCCCCTCATCATCCCTCCCTCATCATCCCTCCCCTCATCATCCCTCCCCTCATCATCCCTCCCCTCATCATCCTCCCCTCATCATCCCTCCCCTCATCATCCCTCCCCTCATCATCCCTCCCCTCATCATCCCTCCCCTCATCATCCCTCCCCTCATCATCCCTCCCCTCATCATCCCTCCCCTCATCATCCCTCCCCTCATCATCCCTCCCTCATCATCCCTCCCCTCATCATCCCTCCCCTCATCATCCCTCCCCTCATCATCCCTCCCCTCATCATCCCTCCCCTCATCATCCCTCCCCTCATCATCCCTCCCCTCATCCATCCCTCCCCTCATCATCCCTCCCCTCATCAATCCCTCCCCTCATCATCCCTCCCCTCATCATCCCTCCCCTCATCATCCCTCCCCTCATCATCCCTCCCCTCATCATCCCTCCCCTCATCATCCCTCCCCTCATCATCCCTCCCCTCATCATCCTCCCCTCATCATCCCTCCCCTCATCATCCCTCCCCTCATCATCCCTCCCCTCATCATCCCTCCCCTCATCATCCCTCCCCTCATCATCCCTCCCCTCATCATCCTCCCTCATCATCCCTCCCCTCATCATCCTCCCTCATCCCCATCCCTGTATCCCTCATCATCCTCCCTCATCATCCCTCCCCTCATCATCCCTCCCCTCATCATCCCTCCCCTCATCATCCCTCCCCTCATCATCCCTCCCCTCATCATCCCTCCCCTCATCATCCCTCCCCTCATCATCCCTCCCCTCATCATCCCTCATCTCATCATCCCGCCCCTCATCATCCCTCATCTCATCATCCCTCCCCTCATCATCCCTCCCCTCATCATCCCTCCCCTCATCATCCCTCCCCTCATCATCCCTCCCCTCATCATCCCTCCCCTCATCATCCCTCCCCTCATCATACCTCCCCTCATCATCCCTCCCCTCATCATCCCTCCCCTCATCATCCCTCCCCTCATCATCCCTCCCCTCATCATCCCTCCCCTCATCATCCCTCCCCTCATCATCCCTCCCCTCATCATCCCTCCCCTCATCATCCCTCCCCTCATCATCCCTCCCCTCATCATCCCTCCCCTCATCATCCCTCCCCTCATCATCCCTCCCCTCATCATCCCTCCCCTCATCATCCCTCCCTCATCATCCCTCCCTCATCATCCCTCCCCTCATCATCCCTCCCCTCATCATCCCTCCCCTCATCATCCCTCCCCTCATCATCCTCCCCTCATCATCCCATCACCCCTCATCATCCTCCCCTCATCATCCCTCCCCTCATCATCCTCCCCTCATCATCCCTCCCCTCATCAGTCCATCCCCTCATCATCCCTCCCCTCATCATCCCTCCCTCATCATCCCTCCCCTCATCATTCCCCTCCCCTCATCATCCCTCCCCTCATCATCCCTCCCTCATCATCCCTCCCCTCATCATCCCTCCCCTCATCATCCCTCCCCCTCATCATTCATCCTCCCCTCATCATCCCTCCCCTCATCATCCTCCCTCATCATCCCTCCCCTCATCATCCCTCCCCTCATCATCCCTCCCCTCATCATCCCTCCCTCATCATCCCTACCCTCATCATCCCTCCCCTCATCATCCCTCATCTCCCTCCCTCATCATCCCTCCCCTCATCATCCCTCCCCTCATCATCCCTCCCTCATCATCCCTCCCCTCATCATCCCTCCCCTCATCATCCCTCCCCTCATCATCCCTCCCCTCATCATCCCTCCCCTCATCATCCCTCCCCTCATCATCCCTCCCCTCATCATCCCTCCCCTCATCATCCCTCCCCTCATCATCCCTCCCCTCATCATCCCTCCCCTCATCATCCCTCCCCTCATCATCCCTCCCCTCATCATCCCTCCCCTCATCATCCCTCCCCTCATCATCCCTCCCCTCATCATCCTCCCCTCATCATCCCTCCCCTCATCATCCCTCCCCTCATCATCCCTCCCCTCATCATCCCTCCCCTCATCATCCCTCCCCTCATCATCCCTCCCCTCATCATCCCTCCCCTCATCATCCTCCCATCATCCTCCCCTCATCATCCCTCCCCTCATCATCCCTCATCTCATCATCCCTCCCCTCATCATCCCTCATCTCATCATCCCTCCCCTCATCATCCCTCCTCATCATCCTCCCTCATCATCCTCCCCTCATCATCCCTCCCCTCATCATCCTCCCTCACATCTCCCTCATCATCCCTCCCCTCATCATCCCTCCCCTCATCATCCCTCCCCTCATCATCCCTCCCCTCATCATCCCTCATCTCATCATCCCTCCCCTCATCATCCCTCCCCTCATCATCCCTCCCCTCATCATCCCTCCCCTCATCATCCCTCCCCTCATCATCCCTCCCCTCATCATCCCTCCCCTCATCATCCCTCCCCTCATCATCCCTCCCCTCATCATCCCTCCCCTCATCATCCCTCCCCTCATCATCCCTCCCCTCATCATCCCTCCCCTCATCATCCCTCCCCTCATCATCCCTCCCCTCATCATCCCTCCCCTCATCATCCCTCCCCTCATCATCCCTCCCCTCATCATCCCTCCCCTCATCATCCCTCCCCTCATCATCCCTCCCCTCATCATCCCTACCCTCATCATCCCTCCCCTCATCATCCCTCCCCTCATCATCCCTCCCCTCATCATCCCTCCCCTCATCATCCCTCCCCTCATCATCCCTCCCCTCATCATCCCTCCCCTCATCATCCCTCCCCTCATCATCCCTCCCCTCATCATCCCTCCCCTCATCATCCCTCCCCTCATCATCCCTCCCCTCATCATCCCTCCCCTCATCATCCCTCCCCTCATCATCCCTCCCCTCATCATCCCTCCCCCTCATCATCCCTCCCCTCATCATCCCTCATCCCTCCCTCTCATCCCTCCCCTCATCATCCCTCCCCTCATCATCCCCCTCATCCCTCCCTCATCATCCCTCCGCCTCATCATCCTCCCTCTCATCATCCCTCCCCTCATCATCCCTCCCCTCATCATCCCTCATCTCATCATCCCTCATCTCATCATCCCTCCCCTCATCATCCCTCCCCTCATCATCCCTCCCCTCATCATCCCTCCCTCATCATCCTCCCTCATCATCCCTCCCCTCATCATCCCTCCCCTCATCATCCCTCCCTCATCATCCCTCCCCTCATCATACCTCCCTCATCATCCCTCCCCTCATCATCCCTCCCCTCATCATCCCTCCCCTCATCATCCTCCCCTCATCATCCCTCCCCTCATCATCCCTCCCCTCATCATCCCTCCCCTCATCATCCCTCCCCTCATCCCCTCATCATCCCTCCCCTCATCATCCCTCCCCTCATCATCCCTCATCTCATCATCCCTCCCCTCATCATCCCTCCCCTCATCATCCCTCATCTCATCATCCCTCATCTCATCATCCCTCCCCTCATCATCCCTCCCCTCATCATCCCTCCCCTCATCATCCCTCCCCTCATCATCCCTCCCCTCATCATCCCTCCCCTCATCATCCCTCCCCTCATCATCCCTCCCCTCATCATCCCTCCCCTCATCATCCCTCCCCTCATCATCCCTCCCCTCATCATCCCTCCCCTCATCATCCCTCCCCTCATCATCCCTCCCCTCATCATCCCTCCCCTCATCATCCCTCCCCTCATCATCCCTCCCCTCATCATCCCTCCCCTCATCATCCCTCCCCTCATCATCCCTCCCCTCATCATCCCTCCCCTCATCATCCCTCCCCTCATCATCCCTCCCCTCATCATCCCTCCCCTCATCATCCCTCCCCTCATCATCCCTCCCCTCATCATCCCTCCCCTCATCATCCCTCCCTCATCATCCCTCCCCTCATCATCCCTCATCCCTCATCATCCCTCGCCTCATCATCCCTCCCCTCTCATCCCTCCCCTCATCATCCCTCCCCTCATCATCCCTCCCCTCATCATCCTCCCCTCATCATCCCTCCCCTCATCATCCCTCCCCTCATCATCCCTCCCTCATCATCCCTCCCCTCATCATCCCTCCCCTCATCATCCCTCCCCTCATCATCCTCCCCTCATCATCCCTCCCTCTCATCATCCCTCCCCTCATCATCCCTCCCCGCATCATCCCTCCCCTCATCATCCCTCCCCTCATCATCCCTCCCCTCATCATCCCTCCCTCCTCATCATCCTACCCCTCATCATCCCTCCCCTCATCATCCCTCCCACTCATCATCCCTCCCCTCATCATCCCTCCCCTCATCATCCCTCCCTCATCATCCCTCCCCTCATCATCCCTCCCCATCATCATCCCTCCCCTCATCATCCCTCATCTCATCATCCCTCCCCTCATCATCCCTCCCCTCATCATCCCTCATCTCATCATCCCTCCCCTCATCATCCCTCCCCTCATCATCCCTCATCTCATCATCCCTCCCCTCATCATCCCTCCCCTCATCATCCCACCCCTCATCATCCCTCCCCTCATCATCCCTCCCCTCATCATCCCTCCCCTCATCATCCCTCCCCTCATCATCCCTCCCCTCATCATCCCTCCCCTCATCATCCCTCCCCTAATCATCCCTCCCCTCATCATCCCTCCCCTCATCATCCCTCCCCTCATCATCCCTCCCCTCATCATCCCTCCCCTCATCATCCCTCCCCTCATCATCCCTCCCCTCATCATCCCTCCCCTCATCATCCCTCCCCTCATCATCCCTCCCCTCATCATCCCTCCCCTCATCATCCCTCCCCTCATCATCCCTCATCTCATCATCCCTCCCCTCATCATCCCTCCCCACATCATCCCTCCCCTCATCATCCCTCCCCTCATCATCCCTCCCCTCATCATCCCTCCCCTCATCATCCCTCCCCTCATCATCCCTCCCCTCATCATCCCTCCCCTCATCATCCCTCCCCTCATCATCCCTCCCCTCATCATCCCTCCCCTCATCATCCCTCCCCTCATCATCCCTCCCCTCATCATCCCTCCCCTCATCATCCCTCCCCTCATCATCCCTCCCCTCATCATCCCTCCCCTCATCATCCCTCCCCTCATCATCCCTCCCCTCATCATCCCTCCCCTCATCATCCCTCCCCTCATCATCCCTCCCCTCATCATCCCTCCCCTCATCATCCCTCCCCTCATCATCCCTCCCCTCATCATCCCTCCCCTCATCATCCCTCCCCTCATCATCCCTCCCCTCATCATCCCTCCCCTCATCATCCCTCCCCTCATCATCCCTCCCCTCATCATCCCTCCCCTCATCATCCCTCATCTCATCATCCCTCCCCTCATCATCCCTCCCCTCATCATCCCTCATCTCATCATCCCTCCCCTCATCATCCCTCCCCTCATCATCCCTCCCCTCATCATCCCTCCCCTCATCATCCCTCCCCTCATCATCCCTCCCCTCATCATCCCTCCCCTCATCATCCCTCCCCTCATCATCCCTCCCCTCATCATCCCTCCCCTCATCATCCCTCCCCTCATCATCCCTCCCCTCATCATCCCTCCCCTCATCTTCCCTCCCCTCATCATCCCTCCCCTCATCATCCCTCATCTCATCATCCCTCCCCTCATCATCCCTCATCTCATCATCCCTCCCCTCATCATCCCTCATCTCATCATCCCTCCCCTCATCATCCCTCCCCTCATCATCCCTCATCTCATCATCCCTCCCCTCAACATCCCTCCCCTCATCATCCCTCATCTCATCATCCCTCCCCTCATCATCCCTCCCCTCATCATCCCTCCCCTCATCATCCCTCCCCTCATCATCCCTCATCTCATCATCCCTCCCCTCATCATCCCTCCCCTCATCATCCCTCCCCTCATCATCCCTCCCCTCATCAATCCCTCCCCTCATCCTCCCTCCCCTCATCATCCCTCCCATCATCCCTCCTCTCATCATCCTCCCCTCACATCCCTCCCTCATCATCCCTCCCCTCATCATCCCTCCCCTCATCATCCCTCCCCTCATCATCCTCCCCTCATCATCCCTCCCCTCATCATCCTCCCCCTCATCATCCCTCCCCTCATCATCCTCCCTCATCATCCCTCCCTCATCATCCCTCCCTCATCATCCCTCCCCTCATCAATCCCTCCCCTCATCACCTCCCCTCATACACTCCCTCCCCTCATCATCCCTCATCTCATCATCCTCCCCTCAACATCCCTCCCCTCATCATCCCTCCCCTCATCATCCCTCCCCTCATCATCCCTCCCCTCAATCATCCCTCCCCTCATCATCCCTCCCTCATCATCCTTCCCCTCATCATCCCTCCCCTCATCATCCCTCTCCTCATCATCCCTCCCCTCATCATCCCTCCCCTCATCATCCCTCCATCATCATCATCCCTCCCCTCATCATCCCTCCCCTCATCATCCCTCCATTCATCATCCCTCATCTCATCATCCCTCCCCTCATCATCCCTCCCCTCATCATCCCTCCCCTCATCATCCCTCCCCTTCATCATCCCTCCCTCATCATCCCTCCCCTCATCATCCCTCCCCTCATCATCCCTCCCTCATCATCCCTCCCCTCATCATCCCTCCCCTCATCATCCCTCCCCTCATCATCCCTCCCCTCATCATCCCTCCCCTCATCATCCCTCCCCCTCATCATCCCTCCCCTCATCATCCCTCCCCTCATCATCCCTCCCCCATCATCCCTCCCCTCATCATCCCTCCCTCATCATCCCTCCCCTCATCATCCCTCCCCTCATCATCCTCCCCTCATCATCCCTCCCCTCATCATCCCTCCCCTCATCATCCCTCCCCTCATCATCCCTCCCCTCATCATCCCTCCCCTCATCATCCCTCCCCTCCTCACCCTCCCCTCATCTCCCGCTCATCATCCCTCATCTCATCATCCCTCCCCTCATCATCCCTCCCTCATCATCCCTCCCCTCATCATCCCTCCCCTCATCATCCCTCCCCTCATCATCCCTCCCCTCATCATCCCTCCCCTCATCATCCCTCCCCTATCATCCCTCCCCTCATCATCCCTCCCCTCATCATCCCTCCCCTCATCATCCCTCCCCTCATCATCCTCCCCTCATCATCCCTCCCCTCATCATCCCTCCCCCTCATCATCCCTCCCTCATCATCCCTCCCATATCATCCCTCCCCTCATCATCCTCCCCTCATCATCCCTCCCCTCATCATCCCTCCCCTCATCATCCTCCCCTCATCATCCCTCCCCTCATCATCCCTCCCCTCATCATCCCTCCCTCATCATCCCTCCCCTCATCATCCCTCCCCTCATCATCCTCCCCTCATCATCCCTCCCCTCATCATCCCTCCATCTCATCATCCCTCCCCTCATCATCCCTCCCCTCACATCATCCCTCCCCTCATCATCCCTCCCCTCATATCCATCCCCATCTCCCTCCATCATCATCCCTCCCCTCATCATCCCTCCCCTCATCATCCCTCCCCTCATCATCCCTCCCCTCATCATCCCTCCCCTCATCATCCCTCCCCTCATCATCCCTCCCCTCATCATCCCCCTTCCCTCATCATCCCTCCCCTCATCATCCCTCCCCTCATCATCCCTCCCCCTCATCATCCCTCCCCTCATCATCCCTCCCCTCATCATCCCTCCCTCATCATCCCTCCCCTCATCATCCCTCCCCTCATCATCCTCCCCTCATCATCCCTCCCCTCATCATCCCTCCCCTCATCATCCCTCCCCTCATCATCCCTCCCCTCATCATCCCTCCCCTCATCATCCCTCCCCTCATCATCCCTCCCCTCATCATCCCTCCCCTCAATCATCCCTCCCCTCATCATCCCTCCCCTCATCATCCCTCCCCTCATCATCCCTCCCCTCATCATCCCTCCCTCATCATCCCTCCCCTCATCATCCCTCCCCTCATCATCCCTCCCCTCATCATCCCTCATCTCATCATCCCTCCCCTCATCATCCCCTCCCCTCATCATCCCCTCATCTCATCATCCCTCCCCTCATCATCCCTCCCCTCATCATCCCTCCCCTCATCATCCCTCCCCTCATCATCCCTCCCCTCATCATCCCTCCCCTCATCATCCCTCCCCTCATCATCCCTCCCCTCATCATCCCCTCCCCCTCATCATCCCTCCCCTCATCATCCCTCCCCTCATCATCCCTCCCCTCATCATCCCTCCCCTCATCATCCCTCCCCTCATCCTCCCTCCCCTCATCATCCCTCCCCTCATCATCCCTCCCCTCATCATCCCTCCCCTCATCATCCCTCCCCTCATCATCCCTCATCTCATCATCCCTCCCCTCATCATCCCTCATCTCATCATCCCTCCCCTCATCATCCCTCATCTCATCATCCCTCCCCTCATCATCCCTCCCCTCATCATCCCTCATCTCATCATCCCTCCCCTCAACATCCCTCCCCTCATCATCCCTCATCTCATCATCCCTCCCCTCATCATCCCTCCCCTCATCATCCCTCCCCTCATCATCCCTCCCCTCATCATCCCTCATCTCATCATCCCTCCCCTCATCATCCCTCCCCTCATCATCCCTCCCCTCATCATCCCTCCCCTCATCATCCCTCCCCTCATCATCCCTCCCCTCATCATCCCTCATCTCATCATCCCTCCCCTCAACATCCCTCCCCTCATCATCCCTCCCCTCATCATCCCTCCCCCTCATCATCCCTCCCCTCATCATCCCTCCCCTCATCATCCTCCCCTCATCAATCCCTCCCCTCATCATCCCTCCCCTCATCATCCCTCCCCTCATCATCCCTCCCCTCATCATCCCTCCCCTCATCATCCCTCCCCCTCATCATCCCTCCCCTCATCATCCCTCCCCTCATCATCCCTCCCCCATCATCCCTCCCCTCATCATCCCCTCCCCTCATCATCCCTCCCCTCATGATCCCTCATCTCATCATCCCTCCCCTCAACATCCCTCCCCTCATCATCCCTCCCCTCATCATCCCTCCCCTCATCATCCCTCCCCTCATCATCCTCCCCTCATCATCCCTCCCCTCATCATCCCTCCCCTCATCATCCCTCCCCTCATCATCCCTCCCCTCATCATCTCTCCCCTCATCATCCCTCCCCTCATCATCCCTCCCCTCATCATCCCTCCCCTCATCATCCCTCCCCTCATCATCCCTCATCTCATCATCCCTCCCCTCATCATCCCTCCCCTCATCATCCCTCATCTCATCATCCCTCATCTCATCATCCCTCCCCTCATCATCCTCCCCTCATCATCCCTCCCCTCATCATCCCTCCCCTCATCATCCCTCCCCTCATCATCCCTCCCCTCATCATCCCTCCCCTCATCATCCCTCCCCTCATCATCCCTCCCCTCATCATCCCTCCCCTCATCATCCCTCCCCTCATCATCATCCCTCCCCTCATCATCCCTCCCCTCATCATCCCTCCCCTCATCATCCCTCCCTCATCATCCCTCCCCTCATCATCCCTCCCCTCATCATCCCTCCCCTCATCATCCCTCCCCTCATCATCCCTCCCCTCATCATGCCTCATCATGCCTCATCATGCCTCATCATGCCTCATCATGCCTCATCATGCCTCATCATGCCTCATCATGCCTCATCATGCCTCATCATGCCTCATCATGCCTCATCATGCCTCATCATGCCTCATCATGCCTCATCATGCCTCATCATGCCTCATCATGCCTCATCATGCCTCATCATGCCTCATCATGCCTCATCATGCCTCATCATGCCTCATCATGCCTCATCATGCCTCATCATCCCTTATCGTGCCTCATCATCCCTTATCGTGCCTCATCATCCCTTATCGTGCCTCATCATCCCTTATCGTGCCTCATCATGCTCTTTTTCACATTCTGAATCATTGTTCCCAGCTCCTCCTTTCAGTTATCCTTGCAAATTATGGGCAAATATTGCGAGGAATGGAAGCAACAAGAGAGAGTCACGCATGGCCAGGTTACTTTCTCTGTGACTCTCTCTTACTGTGTTCTTTCTGCTTCTCGCCTCCTATCCCTGATATCTTGCATGGTTACTCTAATTTCTCAGTGAAACTCTCTCAATCTCTCTGCTCCTTGCATCCTATCATCTCAAGAGAAAACATGAGAGTGCATGTGCTACATTCATTCTGTTCCCTAACCGCTCTCCCAAATCTTATTCATCTCAGAACCCCCCTCTCGTCCTCTCAGGTCTGCTGCTTGCTTCCACTCATCCCTACAGACATTACAAGAGTTCGAATGTCGAATGTTCCATCCCACCTCACTCCCCTCTTCCTCTCCGCTCTCCACTGCCACCACAAAGGTCCCAGCTGCTGCCTCACTGTTTTATTTCTATTACCACTTCAATGATCAATCCCATCTGAGCCCGCCAGTACGTGCAAAATCAGCCCTCCTCGGCGCCCTCTCTGCTCTTCTGTAGGTGGACGGACAGTGCTTGCAGCGGGTGGGGGCACAGCAGGCAGCAACGCGATTAATCCCCCCTAGGTTCAGCCCCCCCAAGCTCAGCCCCCCCAAGCTCAGCCCCCCCAAGCTCAGCCCCCCCAAGCTCAGCCCCCCCAAGCTCAGCCCCCCCAAGCTCAGCCCCCCTAGGTTCAGCCCCCCAGGGTGCCCTCTCTGCTCGTCTGGAGGTGGTCGCACAGTGCTTGCAGCAGGTGGGGGCACAGCACAGCATGAACGGGCTGTGTGGGTGAGAGGGGTGAGTGGGCTGTGTGGGTGAGTGGGCTGTGTGGGTGAGAGGGGTGAGTGGGCTGTGTGGGTGAGTGGGCTGTGTGGGTGAGAGGGGTGAGTGGGCTGTGTGGGTGAGTGGGCTGTGTGGGTGAGAGGGGTGAGTGGGCTGTGTGGGTGAGTGGGCTGTGTGGGTGAGAGGGGTGAGTGGGCTGTGTGGGTGAGTGGGCTGTGTGGGTGAGAGGGGTGAGTGGGCTGTGTGGGTGAGTGGGCTGTGTGGGTGAGAGGGGTGAGTGGGCTGTGTGGGTGAGTGGGCTGTGTGGGTGAGAGGGGTGAGTGGGCTGTGTGGGTGAGTGGGCTGTGTGGGTGAGAGGGGTGAGTGGGCTGTGTGGGTGAGTGGGCTGTGTGGGTGAGAGGGGTGAGTGGGCTGTGTGGGTGAGTGGGCTGTGTGGGTGAGAGGGGTGAGTGGGCTGTGTGGGTGAGTGGGCTGTGTGGGTGAGTGGGCTGTGTGGGTGAGAGGGGTGAGTGGGCTGTGTGGGTCGGTGCCCAATGAGCGTGACCCACTCTGAACTATTGTTCCCACTCCTCCTTTTAGTTATCCTTGCGAATTATGGGCAAATATTGCAAGGAGTGGAAGCAATAACATTGAGTTACGCATGACCAGGTTACTTTCTCCGTTACTCTCTCTTACTGTGTTCTTTCTGCTTCTCGCATCCCATCCCTGATAATCTTGCATGGTTATCCTACTTTCTCAGTGAAACTCTCTCAATCTCTCTGCTCCTTTCATCCTATCATCCCAAGAGACAACATGAGAGTGCATGTGCTAAATTCATTCTGTTCCTTAACCGCTCTCAGCTGCTGCCTCACGGCTCTAATCACCACTTCAATTGCCACTCATCAGTCTACTTTCTTCCACTGTCACTACAAACATCCCAGCTGCTGCTCACTGCTTTGATTCTATTACCACTTCAATCCCATCAGAGACCGCCAGTAGGTGCAAGATCAGCCCTCCTCAGCACCCACTTTGTTCTTCTGGAGGTGGACGCTGTTAGTGTTAGCCTTCAATCTCACACTTTGTACTTCGTATTTTCTATATCCTAGAGTAGTGTAGTTTGCACATTGTGTTTGGTTGGGTGTACACCTACATCCCAACCAAACCCAAATGTAATCTCCAAGCAATCTCCAACCCACCAATTGGAGATTGCCTTGGGATTACCCCCAATCCCTAGGGATTGCCCCCGATTCCCTTCCCCATCCATTCCCTCCCCTTCTTGGATGTACTTATAGAGCTTCAAGCTCATTACTAATGTATCGCTTCTAAGCCTAAGTTCTCACATGGTATCAGAGCCCGTCAACCGCACACGCGGATCGTGATCCTCTTATCTCTGCGGATGTTCATCCCGCAAACCTCGGCGGAACCACCTTCAATCTCGTCGCCGGTGATTCGCGACATTCATGGGCGGAAATTCTCCCGCACCACTTTCCCGTCACTTTCGACGACATCTACTAGTTCACTGGTAAGCGCATCGTCGGCGCTATAACCTATCACTCGTTTTTTCATCAACTTCATCGCGTCATTTCTTCTTCTCGTCGGGCCGCCGCCCGTCGCCCTGCAACTTCTCGTCAGGCCGCCGCCCGTCGCCCCGCAGCTTCTCGTCGGGCCGCCGCCCGTCGCCCTGCAGCTTCTCGTCGGGCCGCTGCCCGTCGCCCCGCAGCTTCTCGTCGGGCCGCCGCCCGTCGCCCCGCAGCTTCTCGTCGGGCCGCCGCCCGTCGCCCTGCAGCTTCACCTTCGGGCTGCCGCCCGTCGCTCCGCATCTGCACTCCTACCCCCATTCCCCCCCCACCTTCCCGCAGCTGAACAGGTGCAGCAGCGCAGCCGAGCAGCCGTGTAGCCGCGAAGCCGAGCAGCAGCGTAGCCGCGAAGCTGAGGGTGGTGTGTGGGGGGGTGTGTGGGATTAGAGTTAGTACTACGGAAATCGGCCAATTCGACCTAATTTCGACGGCCTGAAAAATCTCTCTACAAGGCATTCCGACGCGGCCGACATTGACGATTTCTCCTATTCGGACCCATCGCATTTCGGAATCGCCGCGCTGCGCGCCGCTCGTGACTTAAGAGCGGCGCTCCGCGCGAGACATTAAGGGGCCTTCATCATGGCCTTCTCCTCGTCCACCATGGCCAACCCCATCACCCCGCTCCGCCTTGAAGCCGATGGCTCTAGCTCCAACTTCAAGGCATGGAGCTACAGGGTTGACAAGCACCTCCTGAGTCGTGACGTGCAGGGATTGGACCTCAAAGACGTTCTCCTCAACCGTGGCAAAGGAAAACAGCCCCCTCCCCCCCCTGAGCCGACCGAATCCGCTAGTGATACTGACATGAGGGCGTACGAGGAAGCTGTTGAGAAGTACCGGAAATGGGAGAAGGCAGATGCTGCTATCATCAGCGTCTTCATTGCCTCCACCCCTCCCGAACTAGTCAACACGTTCCACAACTACCCTACCTCCAACGCCATCTGGAAATACCTCCAGGATCGGTTCATAACAAAACGGCGGTCGGGGTTGCCATCCTCATCCCCAGCATGTTCCAGGTCCGCCTTGAGGATTGCTCGGGAATGGCTGACTACATCGCCAAGGTGCAGACTATTCATGGCGAACTGAAGGAGCTGGGCATAGTCTTCCCCGAACAAGCCCCTGCAGCCGCCCTTCTTGTTGGTCTCACCTCGGCATATGAAGTAACGAGGAAGATGCTCCTCACGCTCTCAGCGGAAGACCTCACATTTGCTAAGGTCTCATCCGCACTCCTCTCTGCTGAGAAAGATTCCACGGCTCAAGCCAAGGCTTACGCCATCCGCGCTCCCATGCCGCAAGCAAGTGTCGCATCGGCCCTCGCCTCGGCGCCCTTCCAGCGCAACCGCTTCCCTCCGTGCACCTATGTCGTTAAGTATGGCAATCGCAAGGGACAAGTGTGTGGTGGCACTAACCACCCCCTTGCTACGTGCTTCAAGAAGAAAGACGACGAATGGTATGCCATTCACGGAGTGGACAAGAAGCCGCCAAACTGGATGCGCCCTCGTAAGGCCAACCTAGTTGAGGTCCCGGACCCCGCTTCGGCTAGTGCTAGTGATAGTGCTCCTGCTGATGTGCGTATCAACCTGTTGTTTCCTGGCACTGCCATGATTAATGAAGCTTCCTCCCAGTACCTCGGATCATCACAAGCACCACAATACATAGAGTTCACACTCGACAGCGGCGTCACACACACTCTACTCAAGGAGACACTCTTCTTCAAACCCTACGCAACACCCATCCCTCTCCTAGGAGCTGACTCAAGCTTCACCACTCATGCCAAGGGTTCATCCACAGTCCCGTGCCCCGCCTTCCCTTCCGCCACTGTCACTGGAATGTGCGTGCCTTCACTCCGCCACAATCTCGTGGCCCAAACGGAAATTCAGGAAGCTGGGATACGCACCATCTTCTGGGAAAACGAGAACTATGGTGATATCCTCGACCCACTCACCAACAAGGTCTTGACTCGTTTCACCCTCAACAGCAGCGGCCTTTACACGCTGCAAGTACCCATCCCACAGGTGTCAACCACCCAAACAGCGGCGACTACCTCACCATGCTCGTGCAGCAGTTTCTCCAACCCGACCATACTCTACCACCATCGGCTCGGGCACCCAAACTTCCGCACACTTGCTGACATGGCCTCCAAGAAACTTCTACTCGGCCTGCCAGCCTCACTTCCTCCACCACCAGACTCCCCCGCTCCCACGTGCCTTGACTGCACCAAGAGCAAACTGCGTCAACAGCCCCACCCGGCCTCACCCTCTGTCGCAGCAGGACCACTGGACCTGGTACACCTGGACGTCTGGGGCCCTGCCCCTGTTCCCGCACGAGGTGGTTATCGCTACTTCCTTGTTATCGTCGATGACCACTCTCGCTACGTCTCTGTTCACCTCCTCCACACTAAGGCTGCGGTTCCAGAGGTCCTCATGGCGTGGGTTAAACAGGCACAGACCACCTTTGAGCGCAAAGTCCAGCGCCTCCACTCAGATGGTGGTGGTGAGTTTTGCAACGACAAGCTCAAAGCCTTCTGCTCCTCAGAAGGCATCCAGCAAAACTTCACCCTCCCTGACAGCCCGTAGCAGAACGGCATAGCTGAGAGGCGCAACCACACCCTGGTGCAGATCACTCGGTGCCTCCTCAGCCACTCCAACGCTCCGCACTCTCTCTGGGGGTACGCTCTCTACCACGCCGCCCTCCTCTACAACCTTTACCCCCACCCGCATCTTCCCGACACCACTCCAACCACACTCTGGCTCGGGAAAACGCCCACTGCTCGCTCTCTTCGCGTTTGGGGGTGCACCGCCTATGTCCTCCTCAACCCTCAGGCTCGACGGCAGCACGGCGGCAAGCTCGGTCCCAAGACCCAGACGTGCATCTACCTCGGGCACAACGCCGACTCGCCTGACTACCTCTTCCTCAATCCCTCCACTCAACAGTTGGTCCGGAGCCGCGACGTTGTCTTTGATGAGACCTGCCCATTCTACTCCACTTCGGGACGGGACCCTCTCCCTGATCCACCCTCCCTCGTGTGGGCAGACTTTGATGCGCCTCCTGACCTCCCGCCTGCTCCGGCCCCTTCACCTCCTACCCCTCCTGCCAACGCACCGTCCCCCTCTGCGGTCTCTGACCCGCCCTCACCGGTGTCTTCGGCAGCTGCTCCTCCATCCCCCTCACTTCCCACTCCGCCGACTATGCAGCCACCTCCGAGCGCACCTATCACCTACCATCGGCGGTCCCACCCTTTGGCCCCACCTCCTCCCCCGGTTCCCCCCACCACAGAGGAACCCGCTCTCCCACAGTCGCCCGAGTTGATCACATACCACCGGCGGCCCATTCCCCCGCCCAAGCCTCCTAAGTCAACCCCTCCGACCCTGCCTGCCCCACCCTCTTCTCCGGTGGCTCATGGCACTCGTTCGCATGGCGCTGCTCTTCCACTAGCGCTGGTTCTTCGATACACGGCGATCACACCGCCTCCTCCTGCTGGGGGGGATGTGCCCTCTACCCTTCTGGAAGACAGGCATGAGGAGCTGTGTGATCTTCATGCAGTCATTCCTCAGCTCTCGCACATCTTCCCCGACATCACTGACTCACCCTCCCTCAACTTTGCGGAGAACCCGACCATCCCTATCCCTCTCACCATCCAAGAGGCTCTCTCAGGCCCTCATGCTGCCGAATGGCGTGCTGCCATGGAAGCGGAGATTGCAGCATTCACCCGCAACCACTCCTTCGACGACGAGACTCCACCTCCAGGAGTCAACATCGTCGGGGGCAAGTGGTTGTTCCGTTTAAAACAGCTCCCAGACGAGGCCCCGGTGTTCAAAGCGCGTTACGTAGCCAAGGGCTTCACCCAGCAGCAGTACCGCGACTTCTTCCTAACCTTCTCCCCCACATCCAAACCTTCCACCATTCGTACGCTCATGGATGTCGCAGCTCGAGAAGACTTTGAGATCAAATCCATGGATGCCTCATCCGCCTTCCTACAAGGACGTCTCAAGGAGACAGTGTTCATGGACAGACCAGAAGGCTTCCCAGGAGAATTCCCTCCCAACACTGTCTGGAAGCTGAATCGCCCCGTCTACGGCCTTAAGCAAGCCCCTCGCGAATGGCACAACAAGGTGAAAGAAGTCCTCCTCTCCCTGGACTTCCACCCTTCCACTGCTGACCCGACTCTCTTCATCCGCCGTCATTCTGAGCCATTCTACATCCTGGTCTACGTGGATGATTTCATCCTCGTTGCCAAGGACTCAGCCCAGATGACCTCTGTCCAGGCTGCCCTGAGCAAGGCCCTCCAGATGAAAGACCTCGGTGACCTCAAGCACTACCTGGGGATGGAGATCACTCGTGATCGCCAGGCTCGCACCATCTCACTCTCCCAGGAGTTCTACATCGACAATGTGCTCAAGCGGTTTGAGATGGAGTTGTGCACACCTGTTGCCACCCCGTTGCCGCTGCAACACCTCCTCACAGCTCCAGCTGTACCCACACCAGAGGCCTGCTCTGAGCCATACCCGGAGCTTGTTGGGTCCCTCATGTACGCCATGATGTGCACCCGACCGGACTTGGCCTATCCTGTCAGTGTCCTCTCTCGCTACGTGGCCCCTGGACGCTTCACTGATCTTCACTGGAAGGCGGCGAAGCGGGTGCTGCGCTATCTTCAGGGCACCAAGTCTCACGTTCTCACACTCGGTGGGCTCTCCCCTCCTCGCCTGGAAGGTTACACCGACTCCTCCTGGGCTGATGACCAGACCGACCGACGCTCCTCTCAGGGGTACTGCTTCACCCTTGGGAGCGGAATTGTCAGTTGGCGCTCCACCAGGTCGTCTGCAGTCTCCCTCTCCTCCTGTGAGGCAGAGCTCTACGCTGGCACCATGGCTGCTCAGGAGGCCCGTTGGCTCACCTTCCTACTCCAGGAGCTTGGTTTCCCCCAGTCCGCCCCCACCCTCTGGTGTGACAACCAGAGTACCATCCACATCTGTCAAGACCCTGTGTATCACACCCGCACCAAGCATATTGAACTCCGGCACTTCTTCATCCGTGACCTTGTCCAACAGAAGCAGCTGAAAGTGGAATACGTTGCATCTGACTGCAACCTGGCTGATCTGTTCACCAAGCCCCTTGGGAAAGTTCCCCACCACCGTCTCCTAGGCGCCATGGGGCTCTGTGCACCACCCTCTCTACCCTGAGTTCGATTGACGCCTATGGGGGGGTGTTAGTGTTAGCCTTCAATCTCACACTTTGTACTTTGTATTTTCTATATCCTAGAGTAGTGTAGTTTGCACATTGTGTTTGGTTGGGTGTACACCTACATCCCAACCAAACCCAAATGTAATCTCCAAGCAATCTCCAACCCACCAATTGGAGATTGCCTTGGGATTACCCCCAATCCCTAGGGATTGCCCCCGATTCCCTTCCCCATCCATTCCCTCCCCTTCTTGGATGTACTTATAGAGCTTCAAGCTCAT